CTGCAGTGAATGGGTGCTGTCAGAATGAGAGTCCAAACAGCTGATAAAAACATCACAATAATCCACAAGTAATCCACATGACTCCTGTTGATCAATTAACACCTTTTGAAGCAAGCTGCATGTTTATAATAAATTCATCAAACGTTTTCCTCCATACTTAATATTGTTTTCTCAAGTGAAAAAGTAATCTTGCTCAGGAGAGAAATATGCACAGATCAAGCACTATTTACAAGCGAAAACAGCCTGGTTAGTACTAAACAAATAGGTTGATGGATTTTGAAGTGAGAGGATAACAGGGGATGGAATTTTTCATTGGAGCTAGCACTGCTATGTATTATGGACTGGCATTTAGGCCAGAAGTGATGGTTTAAAGTTAAAATGCCTTTATTGATGAATTTGTTTCTTACAAACACATAGCTTTTCACTTCACAAGATGTTCATTGATGGACTGGAGCTGTGTGGATTACTTGTGGATTATTGTGATGTTTTTATCAGCTGTTTAGACTGATTCTGATGGCACCCATTCACTGCAGAAGATCCATTGGTGAGCGAGTGATGTAATTCTAAATTCCTCCAAATCTCTTCTGATGATGAAACAAACTCATCTACATCTTGGAAGGCCTGTGTCACGTAACTGTTGCTGTGAGGGAGCGCGGAGCGAGGAACAAGGAGACGTGGAGTACATCAACAAGCAGACTTTAATGATATCAAGGGAACCAGGACAACACACATAGCAGAGGAGGTTGACATAAACAATGGAAAACATGGAAACATGGAAACACACACAGCTTAAATAATAAGGGAGCTAATGGGACAGACCTGGGATCAATAGAACTAAACGGGGAACACCTGGAAACACATTAAATAATCAGGATTGGAACAGAAAGGAAACCAAACATGGGCATAAACTGAACAAAACACAGGACATTAACATAACATAATGCCCCCCTGCGGAAGGCATAATGCCCGTCCTCGCGTCACATAACATCAACAGGGTGGGAGGGTGGGTGCCTTGGAGGTCCCTCAGGACAGACCACTACGGAACAGGGACACCTCCAAGGCGGTACCAGTTCGGGGCGCCATGGCAGAGCAGGCAGACTAGGAAGCCATGGTGGAGCAAACAGTTCAGTAGGCCATGGCGGAGCAGGGAGCTTGGGGAGCCATGGTGGAGCAGACAGTTCAGGAGGCCATGGCAGAGCAGACAGTTCAGGAGGCCATGGCAGAGCAGACTAGCACTCGGCCCGGCCTCCACTGACGTACCCCTACTACCCCCCCACCCCCAAAAAAAATCCTTGGGGACAATATCATCTTTAGAGGCCCTCCGTAGGCCTAACTCGGGAACTGTGGCCCTCCCTGGGCTTGACTTGGGGACTGGAGCCCTCCTTGGGCTGGACGTGGGAACTGGAGCTCTCTCTGGTCTAAACTCAGGGACTGGAGCCCTCTCTGGGCTAAACTCGGGGACTGGAGCCC